GAAGCAACGCATTACAACTGGTAGTCGAAGCGGAAAAGGGAAAGTCATCAATGTTACAAATTAGGATCGACCAGTTCATGACTGACATTAAGGAACTGCAAGAAAAGATTGCGGTTCTACAGTCATCACTTTCGACCAAACGTGATGAACTTCGCGAAAAGGATGAACAAATTCGTTTGCTGAATAATGCTGTTGTGGATCTGAAAGTTAGTATAATTGGCTATTTTTGATGTCGTCACGATATCTTTATTCAGGGACAAATTCGCGTTGTTGTCCGCGTGAGGCCGCCAATCGGTAAAGAGGTGGATGTTCCAACGACTCACATAAGCTATCCTGGAGTATCCTCGATCAGATTGGATCAGGTAGTTATCTGCCAGTTCACCAATTTGTGCATATCTCATCAATGAAAAGGTTGTTTACATTTTTAGGGCAAAACTTATCAGACTTTCGACTTCCAAAGTGTATTTGGACCGAACATGAATCAGGCGGGGCTCTTCAATGATGTGGAAGAGTTGATCTTGGTAACGATGTTCTTATTGTATCACTTATCCAATGAGATATAGACTGACCTTCAAATTATTCTTTTCTTGAAATATATAGTTATTTATTAGCAACTAATGGTCACTGGACCTATAGTAATTGACATCTGCCTGCAAAACCTTGACTCCTTCTAGCGGGCACGAAGCCGTACGCGCTCCTTCACCAAGAGTTTTAGAATAGTTGTACTTTGTAAACATAACCGTCCATCTTGAACACAACAGATCAGGGAGTTGCCTCCTAGCGTCTGGTGTATAGCTTTACGAGCATGGAAAAAATTCTACGATAGATCTTTAAATTATGGTTGATGTCAAATGTTCTTTTTTTTGACATGTTGGGGGCGCTCTGTCAGCTCAAATGAAATACTATATTAAATGTTTTTGCCATTTAATTATATCTGCCATATTAATTTTAGTTTCTGAGCTTCTATCACTCAGTAAATATTCTAGTCATGTCTCCATGGCTATAATGTATCAATCATTGCCTATGGCCAAACCGGTAGCGG